TGACATGGAAAAGGCTTTTGATATGGTTAACTGGACAAAGCTAATGGAAATCTTAAGAAAAATAGGAACAGATTGGAGAGATAGAAGACTCATTGCTTCACTTTATATGAATCAATCTGCCATTATCCGAACAAAAACTGGAGAAAGCAAACCATGCAGTATTGGAAAAGGAGTCAGGCAAGGGTGTACACTTTCACCTACTCTTTTTAACATTTATCTTGAGGAATTAATGAATGAAGCCATAAGTGAGGACAGTCTCGGAATTAAAATTGGAGGCCAATTAATACAAAGTATTAGGTTTGCAGATGATATTGCTTTACTTGCACCAAATGAACAAACTCTACAATGTTTGGTAACAAAACTCAACAAAACTTGCAAAAAATTTGGAATGAAAATTAACATAGCTAAAACAAAAGTGATGAAAGTTGGAAGGCTAATTAGCAAAGATTTGAAAATCCTAATTGATGGAAACAAAATAGAGCAAGTTCAACATTTTAGGTATCTTGGCAGCATTATTCAGGGAGATGGCAGATGTGAAAAAGAAATCAAAGAACGAATCAGGGCTGGAAAAATGGCTTTTTATAAGAAGAAGAACCTTCTTATTGGAAAAATGAACCAAACACTTAAAAAGAAGTTAATAAAATGCTTTTCCTGGAGCACAACTTTATATGGAGCAGAGACTTGGACCTTAAGGAAAAAGGAAACAAACTACCTTGAAGCATATGAAATGTGGTTATGGTGAAGAATGGAGAAAATCAAGTGGACAGAAAAGGTTAAGAATGAAGATGTTTTAAATTTGGTCCCAGAACAGATATCTTTTTTAAAAGCAATACAAAGAAGAAAAAATAACTGGCTCGGTCATATATTGCGAAAAGAAGGATTAATGCAAGTGGCATTAGAAGGAAAAATTGATGCAAGGAAACAAAGAGGAAGAAAAAGAAAAGTATTGATAGATGATGTTTTACTAGGCAAAACTTATAAAGAAATAAAAGAGGAAGCCCGAAATAGAGAATGTTGGAGAAGAATTCTATAATTTGACTGCTTTCCACCGACCTGTCCTAGGACAGAACACCTATGAATGAATGAATATCCTGTCTTAGTAAAAATATTTATTTTCAAATGTTAACTGTACAAAACTACTTCAGACATGATTCAAATGACCAAATGACATGGCTTGGTATTACTTAATTGCAGGTGATATCATTTTATGTCATTTGAAACTATCCAAAAATCATTTCAGACATATCATTTGATATCATTCTGTAATGGTTTTTGATTGATTTCAAATGATACCAAATGATTTGACCTGAAGATGGCCTATTAACTAGGCTGAAAACATTTGTTTTTTTAAAAATTATATTTATTTCTCGGCAAAAAAGGTGTTTTGTTTCTCTTTATTTAGTTGCTGAGCGCTTTTGATATTGATATTGATACCAAATGCATTCTTAAACAGTTTCATTGAAGTTATAAATTTTTAACAATGAAATGTTTTTTAATATATATTCTGGACATGATTTCAAAATGATATCAAGTGATATCATGTTATGATTGATATTAGTTGATGTTAAAGGTTCAAAAATTGAAAACAAAAAATATTTTGACACACAAGAACAAGTGATATCACTTAAATGTCAAGTAAAAGTTGTCATGTCATATATTATAAGTACTGTCATATATTGTCCTGACAAATGATATCATGTCATATCATTTGACATTATGTACCATTAACATATGATTTCAAATAATATTTTTATTAGTGTAGGTCAATAACTTGTGCAAACCAAGTTTAAATAATTTCTGTATACTTTATCTGAGCTCTCTGAGCTTGCCTTCTTTATGAATGTACCAAACTTAAAATACAAGTATTTAGATTATATCTTTATTACCAGTGTTGAGTCAGTACACAAATAGTTCAACTTTGGCAAATTTGAAATGTGAGATTTCAACCTTCCTATTTTTTAAAATATCTCACTATGATTCATTTTTGTAAGGAAAAAAACCACTGAGCTTAAATATTTTTATCTAAAAACTAGCAGACCCTGCCACGCGTTGTGGCTCAAAATGTATCTATTATAAATTTATAACACTTCCCCGTGGGGGGGAATTTTTTGAAAAATTTCTTCTTAGTGTAATTCTGTTGATGTACCCTATTAAAACGCAAAAAACCACATCTAAAATAGTATAAATAGAAGCAGAGTTCTTTACGGTAAGCCTTAATCCTAACCATCTCCCTTCAGTGGGGGGAATTTCGACACGTATATTATATAAAAACACGTGCGTATTCGAATGCAGCATTGTGTCAAAATTTCAAAGGAATCGGTAGGAACAAACGAACATTACATTTTTATTTATATAGATAGATAGAAGATGATCTGCTTTAGTTCATTTTCACAGAAAAGCATAATGCCTCACAGAAAAGCAAACTTAGGGCGTCGTACTCGTAGCGCCATCTGTTGGACATAAAAGCCTTAACCTAGATTATATATTTTAATTTATATGAATGTTTAACGGAATAATATACAGCCTATGTCCACCCTGAGGTTCCATTCTAAATATTGGTGAAAGAATTTTTGAAATCAGATGAGTAGTTTCGGAGATTACCTGCTTCAAACAAACTTACATACATACATACATACATACATACATACATACATACATAACCTCTTTATAATATTAGTATAGATTCTTAATAAAAAGTTGTACTAAAATTTATGGTGATAATCAGAAAAGGGACATAACAAATTTACTTTGGAAAAATTTTGAGCACATAAAGAAACATATTAAATCTTAATCAGGCAAAAGAATTCCACTTTTATTAGTTAATTATCAAAAATTGATTTAAATTTAATCATATTAAATAAAAAGAAACTTAACTGCAATAAAATGCAAAAAAAATATAATAAATTGGTGTGCAAAATTGTTTGTCTGATCCCAGCTACTATAAGAATAGTTCATTTTGTACTGATAGTTGACTAAACTCAAGCATATAGTAGAATTTTAAAATATGAATTTTGGAAAAAATATCAATCATTTTAAACTGATTGTACAGTTGTGTTCTGAGAACTTAAGCCAGTGAATAATAAGCTGGAACAATCTTATTAATTACATTTTGCGGTTTTCTCTCTTAGTTTGTTGCAATTAGATTCTGATGTATTTTATTTTTTTATTGTTTTTGTATTGACTGTTTTAAGACCATATTACGTTATAGAAGCTATAATAAATAGTCATAAATAACTTACAAGCAATAGAAAAGCTGTGAGTAAAACTAATTACGAGTTAAATTTAAATTAATTAATTACTCGTAGTTAAATTAGTCAAAAAAACAATTATCTGATATGTAAAAAAATATTGTGCCAAGTAAAAATTATGGCAGCCAAAATGAAAATCAAATTTTTTCTTGGTATTTTCTCTTTGATAAAGATTAGCTTGACACTTTTTAGTGATTCCGTAAGCTTTTTATTATTGTCTCTGTACTATGTGTTATTGCTTTGGTAACATGGTGAAGCTTTCAAGAACCAATTTCAAAGACATTCTTTTTCTCATTGATAGCTGGCCAGATGGCTGACAGTAGCATTCTGACTGTCACTGAAGGATCCAGGATCAAATTCTTGTCGAAACTCCTGCAAAAATTTTTTCATGTAGAATCCATTGGTATGTCATTCTCCAACTTGATGCATCAGTGGCTAAGAAGATTTGATCCCTAAACACTGGTAATCAGCTCAGATTTGTGTTAAGGCTGACATGCAGACTCCTGAGTTTTCTGGAGTTTTTCTTTACATCAATAATGCCTGAATATGGGCTAGTTTTCCTTAAAAGAAATGTCAGAAGACATGTTTTCAAATGTTCTAATGTTTTTTTTAATAGTGTATTGATACTTAGATAACTGTGAGACTTTTTTAGAACTTCTATAAAAAAAAAGTTATTTCAAATAATGTAGTTACACAAATCACTTACTATATAACTTTGATTACTATTTTTATTTACAAGCATATTGTGAGTAGTGTTCAATTGTGAAATGATTAAAAAGCAAAATATTATTGGTATAATTACAAAATGAATTAAATTTAAAATTACGTTATTTTTGTAACACACAAGTGTGAGATATGCAGGAGTTCAAGGGTAAATCCCAATGACCACTTACTCTGCTCAAGATCTTGCGATACGACCTCCTTGTCAATGGATGACTTCCTGATATATTTATTTAAGACCAGGAGTTCATAAGATCCCCTGGAGGTTGTTTTTCCTGACACCAGTTAATCTATTAATTCTGTGGATTAACACATGTAAGTGAGGAATTTTGAGTGGGAGGGATGTGAATAAGTGGAGTGGACGAAGGCATTAGATTTAGTCATTAATGAAATCATTTTTAAACTTAACATAACAAAATATTTAATAAAACAATGGAATAAAAATACAAATGATTGAATTACAATAATATATTATTTATGAAGACCTATCTTGTGGAGAGATCAATCAACTATCTAACTTAATCTAAATCAACCTATATGTGTGAGAGAGAGTTTACATCAATCCAACATTTTATATTAATTTCACAATACGTAGTTTATTCTTGTCTTTGATCGTCTTTCAGTTCGGGATATGAGTGAAGTTTGGAATCATAGCATTTATGTGTGCGCTATTCAATATATGGACAACTTCTATATGTATGGTAATCTCTTTTGATGGACTACCTACTATGGCATATTTGTACTTCGATGAACTGCCCAGAATGGTGGGGAAAAAACCCCTTTTATAGTGGCTTCTTCAGGCAACCAAGTAACATTTGCAAAAGGCCGCATCTGAATCATCTTGCAAGTCGGCTGTCTAAAGGAAGTTCAACTTCCTCCTTTTTTGGAAACGACTCTTACATCATTTCTTTGTGTTAAAATTTTTTCCTCTTTAAAATTTTATAATTTAAAACATTTTATTTTAATTAAAAACAATCCTTCAGATCTCACACAAATGTTTATTTTCTAAATATTTAAAAAAATTTTTTTTAGCTATCAAGATTCTATCATTTATGTGAAGATAGTGTATGGGGTGTAAGAAAATCTTGTGCCGAAGTATTTACAACTGTTTCCTGTGTTTGTTCCATGGAAGTTAGAAAAAATGATCTTGCTCCTTTGTATCTTAATTTGCTTTGTGACAATTCTCGTTGGGTATGTAATTAATATATATATATATTACTAGTTAAAATAATTTATATTTATGAAAGAATAGTTAGGAATATTTAGTCCCTAGAATTTGTGTAGACAAAATCCAAAATAAAGTTTATCAAATTTTCAAACTAAAATGATAGAAACAAACAACTCTACTAAACCCGATAGCTTGTAATACCAAACCCAACCAATGTCGTATGTTATCAGGCTAATAACGGCAATCATTGAATATTATAGCTGTTATTAGCCCAATAACATATGGCATTAGTTGGCTTTGGTATTAAAATGATAGAAACAAAAACTTCTTAATTGTAAATCATTCATAATATTTAATTTTATATCCAAATTGTTTTGATAAAACACTTATTACATATAGTTTTGGCTATTTGATACTTAAAACTTCCAATTTTCTATTTGTCTGAAAATATTGGATAATATAAAAATTAAGTATAATTGAGTTTACAGTGTAAATTTGCCTGAATAAAAATTGCTATATAAGCTGAAAAATAACATGCTTGATAAATCATTTTTTATTTTGTTAAAAATTCTATAATTTAGTTTTTATTTCTCATCCTTACTGCAATATTCCATAAGAGTTTTTTTAATATAACTGTCATTACTATAACTTCCTTTTATTTTTATTTTTTTTAATGCTTGGGAGATCTTTTCAAAATCTTTGTTTTTTTATTGTGTATTATTATTGGTTTTTTCCAGAAATGAACATTGTCATTTATGAGTTAGTTTGCAAACTAATATCAATAAGTTAATTCTTGTAAGTCACCTGTTAATATGTATTTTATGTATGTTTTCATTATTTTTCTAGTACAGAAACTAGTTTTTCCAGTTCTCTCTCTCTCTCTCTCTGTCTTCACCCCTCTTTCATATATAAATTAAATTCACAAAACTGAAATTCTGATAAATCAAGAATTTACTACATGTCTGTTTAGTTGTTTTTGTGAGATAGCTAGCGCGCGGGCTGGAAAAGCCAGTTCTCAATGTTGAGGATGGCTTTAGGGGGCTTTTTAAATCAAGTGGGGAGGTATGAGTAAGTAGTTAGGTGTCCTTCCTGCGAATCAGACAGATAGACAGGTTTAAAAGACAACAACAAATTTAATATAAAACATTAAATTTTCAATTAAAGGATTAAATAATATGGGATGTTATGCATTACAAACTACTTACAACTACATATTTAAGCAACTGAGAGAGAGAGCTTACAAATGCAGTCTTAATATAATACCTCATGACGATTCATGTATCCTGGCTTATACGTTGTCCTGAAGACATCCACTGATCTAGCTGAGTATAGGAGGTTGGAGAACTGGTGGAGATCATGTCCTGAGTGGAGGTTCGAAGATTGCTACCAGCTTGGAGGCTTCCATATGGCGATTGCATTTAGACTTCCTTTTAGATGATAGCCCTGAGGTGCGGGTGCGACTCCTGTTTATACAAGTCCTGGAGGGGGAATTATCAGGGGAAGTTCTGATGCAATCCCTTCTAAGTTTGGTTTACGTCTGGGTGTTGTTAATTGTCAGAAATCAAATGTTTTGACAAATTTATTACCTCTTTCTATCTGGTATTGTTACTCATTCTACCTCATAAAATTGATAACAGCTAAGCACAACAATTAACATCTAAATGCTAATTCCAGCAATGAATGAACAAAAAATTTTAATGCTCGAACATTTTCAGCAGTCTTTTAGAGGCCTTCCTCAATGATGAAACACACATTAAAATTTTTTGTTCATTCAGTGCTGGAATTAGCATTTAGGTGTTAATTGTTGTGTTTATTATATAGTTCCAGTTTACTTGCACTAGTTTTTTGTTTGATAACAGCTGTCAAACACACAGAATTAATTGCTTGAGATGACTAAGTTCAAGATTTGTAGTGCGACCTTAGTAATAATTGTTACTTTGTATGTTGTAAATATTGTTACTTTGAAACTGATAAAGCCAATCATCTGATTGGCTTTATCAGTTTCAAAATCAGACGAAATAGGATGTGTATGGATTTTGTTTTTGCTGTGTCATTCTACTGGGGGGATATTAGATTAGGATTGTAATATTATTTACATTAATTACTTAATTATCCCACCCCTCTCTAGATTCTCACATTTTATATGATTAAAAAATGTATAGTAAGCAAGGGAAGAAAATTATCCCTTTTCATATGGGAAAATTAACATAACATTTTCTTATATACTGTTGTTTTTTTCATTCTAAACATAACAATTGCATGATCATAATAAAATTGTTTATGAAAATGAAATAATCTTTCTGCAGTTATTTTCATTAAAGATTTTTATTAGTGAAATAATCTAGATTGGTATTATTCATAATGTTTTTAAGTTCACCTTATCTGATAGCATTTGAAATTTATTTGTAAGCCTAATTTATAGATTTGAGTTGTCCAAAAAAATTGAGTATGTAAATGTTTCATAAATTAATATTAATTTAGTTTATGATTAATCAATTTCATTTTTGCCTTTTGTTATTTACTTTATTCTTTAGATGATTGAAATATGATAAAATTGAAATATATTTAGTATAGTTTATTAGAATTTTAGGTTTTCCTAGGAAAATATTTACAGAAAAATATAAAAATATTTTTTCTTAAGATAGCTTTATGTATCTAGTTTATCACTTACTAATGAATTTTTTACAAATATTAAAGTGGTATATTAAATATTTTTAGAAATGCTAAATTTGCAAACTATATTTTACAAATTTGATAATATAAATAGTTAATTTCTCTTTTTGATTTTTCAGGTAAAGATGGCAGCATTCCAATCATTGGGTCCTTTTATATCAACTTTTGCAGACAATAAACAAGAATTTCCTTATTCGGATACTATTTTTAATTTATTGAGTGGTAAAAAGGAATTAAATAATAATTCTCTGAAGGCAAAAGATAATGAAATTGCTATTCAAAATAAGATAGATTCTTCTGAAGAAAAAGTATCTTCTGACATTGAAAATGTTTCATCACATTCATTAGATTCAAAAGAATCATTAACATCTTCTGAAAAATTAGACTCTAATAAAGATAAAGGTGCCATTAATGAATATTCTGGAACAAATGTGTATTTTACTTCTGAATCAATTTCAGACTATACCAAAAATGAATTTTGTATTCAGAATAAAAATAATTTAGATAAATCTCTTGAATCTAGTCAAAATGCTGAAGAAGTTTCTGAAGCTAATTCAAATACTTTTGAAAATTTTTCTTCATTTGATAATTCAATTGCATCACAAAAAACAAATGGTAAAAATATAGAAAAAAAAGAATGTTTTTCTGACATGCCATTGACAGTGACAGCCAAAAATGGTCATCTCCATGTTCACATTGACAACGAAAGTGCATTTAATAATTTTCAGTATTGGCGTATTCCTGTTCCTGATGTAGAAGTCGACATTGATATAGAAAACGGCAAGGCAACAAATATACACATAAGAGCATCTATAAAAGATGATAAAACACAACATACCTGTGCTTCAGATCTTAACTTATCGCTTATGTCACAAATGGATAGTACTTCTGCTGATGAAACTAATATGTAAGTTCAATTATTGGAAATTTTCAGATAATTAATTGAGGGAAAATGGTGTATGGAGAAAGTACAAATAAAAAAAAAACAACAGTAGATTCATAATGGAATAATAATGTCAGGTTGACAGTTCAAAAATATTAATTCAAAATTAATTTTTAAAATTTTATTAATTTGCATATATTTTTATATTGAACTGTTATATCATTTTAGTATTTTACAATGTATATTAGAATTAATTTATTATTGCATAATTTTAGATATTTTATGTGATTAATCTCTTAAGTGCATACATTTTTTTTACTCCAGATTTTATGTATTTACTTGTATTTTTTAACAAAATCATTGTTTGAAAATTAGGAAAACAAATAATTTTTATTAACTTTCTTAAATTCTACATTCCATTTTTTTCCAGTATTTTTTTTTACTTTAATAATTATATCTGTTTTGATATAGAATAGTGGAAATTATCAACTCCACAGTTGTAATTGTATTGTATTAAAAGATTCAATTTTAGAAATAATCAGTTGTGATTATTTTTATTGTAAGTTATTGTAAAAATAATCACAGGTGACTCAATATATATATATATATATTATTAAATTTCATAATTGGCAAATTTTTTGAGAGAAATAACTTTTGTCAAATAGTTTGATGTTAAAGGAGAATTAATTTTTAATGTTGTTAAATGGAAAATTTTCAAATTTTTAAACAAAAGATTTCAATAAAACTTTTTTCAAAGTGATACTTCTTTGTTAGTTAGTGCAAATGAAATGCATTCATAGAAATGGAAGTTACGTTATTCATTTCTTCTACTGACTCTGTTCCTATCTTTATTTATTACACCATCTATAATCAGTCTAATTAGCAAAACATTTTGTTTGCTTTTACAGTATGGTTTTGTGGTTAAAATGTTTTACTTATGTTTTTATTGTAATGAGTAGCATTTTAGTCTGAAGTTTCTGAATACACAGAGAACATGTATTATTTCATATCAAGCATGCTACTTAAGGAAAATATGTGCAAATCAAAGTATTTACATCAGTGAGTAGCATTCAATATTTCTTTGTTTGGAATGTCAGAAGCTGGAGAAGAATGGTTTGCTCATTACAAAGCAGATTCAGTGGCATTTGCCATCCATGTAAATCATTCCCACATAAAATAACACCCTAGTATAAAATGATTAATTTTAGGAGATATTTTAATTTAATATAATAATTAACATTAATTTTTGGTGGATACATTTTTAGATTTTCATGATAGGCAAGTTATGGCAGTTACTCCACATATGCAATATTACTTCATATCTTCCAATATTTAATTTTGCTTTTGAAAATATGAATAAAAAAATAGCATTAAGCTTAGAACTTTTCATTGAACAAATATGGTTATAAAGCATTTTTATATTTAAAAAAATAGGTCACTGCACCTTCATCTGTTGCTCACCTTAACACATGGCACATTTAATGATGACTGTTTCTTGCAGATGTTTTTACTATATTTTTGACAGATTGATTTTGTTTTATTATTCTTGTTTTCTACAAGAAAGTCATATCTCATCAGCCAATTGTTTGCAGTCATTGTCATGATTAGTATATTCTATAGTCTCCTTCTCCTCAGTCTCATTGTTATAATCAGTCTCTTCTGGCTCTTCTCTTTCTTTCATCAATTTCCTTAACTTGTTCTAAAGCTCCAACAACTCTTGCTGGTCAAAGCTTTATGAGATCTAGAAATATAAAAATATAGGCATCCTGAAAGCTGTTTGGTATACAGTAGAGCATCAATTATCTGAATGTCGATCAACCAAAACATCAATTAACCGAAAGCTCTCCAGTCGGCAAATTTAAATTTCCACTAGTGCTGTGGCGCTGCAATCTTTGGCTATGTCTTGGGCTACTCCAATATTATTATTGTTGGTGTGCATGTTTAAGCTGGCAGCACTGGCGCGACTACGAAAGGGTACTTAAGGACGTGCCAGGATTTGAACAAATTTCAACATGGGATAGGTTAATATATTTTTTTGTACGTAATCGGTTATCTGAAAAATTGATTTTTCAAACAACCCCAGCCCCCAATTGATTCAGATAATTGATGCTCCACTGTATTTTCAACAAATGTAACTCTGAAAATTTATTGAAACCTATGACCTTGTGAAATAAAGATATTTACACAGTAAGTATGCAAAAAGATGCTTTTCTTTGAAATACATTACTTTATTTATTTATTTATTTCTTAAATGCAAATTTTACTAATATAACAGTGGCAAGTATACTGCAGTGATATCACCTATTTCAAAGCTCAGAAACAACAAAATATTTAGAAACAGGGAGGCCACTCATACATGGTGATATCTGCTATGAATAGGGGATACTGAAGTGCCCTTCTGCATCACCTATGTACAATGTCATAAAAAAAAGTTTGTGCATATTTCCTAGGAAAGCTGCTTAAAGCCTCTTTGTTAAAAAACAGTTAAGCTATTTCCACTTTAAGTGAACAGCTATAGTGCTAGTGCAACAAGGTTCACAAGTGTTGAAGTTAAGATGGCTGCCACCATAAATTATATGCATATTACTTACTGTACCTCAAATGAAAATTGTGATATATGAAAATTATTTTAAATTGATTATTGGAAAAATTCGAAATGCAATTTTCTACATAATCTTCTATTCTGACATAAATGCTTTCAGATATATTAATGCAGAATGAACTTAAGCAATTACCTATATGACATATAGGTAATCGCATTTTTACACAATATATACTTGATTGACTGTTTCTGATATTTTATAGTCTCAGTAGCAATTCTGTGTTGTTTCTGACTAAACATTTTTATTCATACAAAACAATGTGTACAAAAAATCAAACAACAATGTTGAATAGCTGATATGTAAAAGTATTTCCATGATAAAAATAAAATAAATTATTTAAAACAATGGAGTCAGAATTTTTCAATCTTACTTAATTGTACTATCAAAGAGTACATGAAAATTTTAAATTTTCCTTCGTTTCTGACTTAGAGGACTAAAAATTTTTTAACCCTAAACCATTTATTAAAAAATGAAATAGAATTTAAAAGGTTAGAAAGTCAAACCAGTTTTTTGTAGAGAGAAAACACATTTTTATTACACCATATTTATTCCTAAATGCATTTTGCCAGTTTACCGGCTCCCTCAGTAGGGCTTACAAATATACAATATAGTTCAAATTGCAAACTATGATAAATCTTTATTACAATCTCCTAAACAGTGGCATAGCGTGGGTGTCAGCTGCTCGGGGCAAAGGAAAATTTTGCCGTCCCCTTATTTAGGTATTTCAATTTAAAAGACTAAAATTCAGTTTCGTCACAGAATAAGTAATGAAAACTTCCATGCTAGTGTTGCCATCTTTTTAAAATCGCTGACCCGGATGGCAGGTGAGGTTTGTTCGAACAGAAGTTCCTGACGCATGCGTATGTCATTTTGCAATGCGAAGAATAATGTGCAGTGCATGCCGGTTCTAAATCAATTACAGTTAACGACTAGGGAGACTTGGATAGGAGTAACATATGACTTAGCTCTATTGGATATTGGAGGTGTGTGTGAATATGATTGAATCGTACAGGCAAAAATAGAAAAAGATCAACAGATTGCACACGATATCCCCGGGAAAAATTAAAAAGTTCACCCGGACGGCGAGTTGCTTCCCGGACTGTGTGGATGGTAACACTATTCCCTGTGTTCGTTTTAGTCGGTCCAAATCATAGGTGTGACGGAAATATGAAATAAAATGATTGAAATTTTTACAAGATATTATTATTATTTATTGTGAAATTTTGCTGTCCCCACTACGCTACGCCACTGCTCCTAACCCATTTTTACAACTTTTATACCTGACAAGGTTTAAGTACAAGGACAAAGTATTTCCATCAAAAGCAGTTGCAAGTTGCATAAAGCACTCTCCAGCAGTTTTACTATGAAACATGTTCTGCATCAACATTCTGCAGCAACTTGCTGTAGGTACACCTTGTTGAAGGGTAAATTATTAATTTTTGCAAATTGTCTGGGAGACATGGTATACTTAATTTAGGTTGAACAATATTTAGATAAATGAACTACAGTTAATATGTTTAAAGTAATGAGAGCTTATTTTAGTTTTGTTCAATATTATATTAAAAGCTAGTGAACTTTAATTAATTATGTCAAGTGTCTAATTTAAATCACATTGAATTTAGATTTAAACTTCAATTATTTTACATTTTAACAGAATGTATACACCATTTTTGAAGTCCATTTAGTCACATGGTCCTAGCTTAAGACTTCCAACAGCAATACTTTGACAAATTTTTTTTAGTCTGTTAAAAGTAGGAACTTACTCTATCCTATTTTTAGTTTAATTTCAGAAGAAATATTAGAAAACATTTTTAATTTTTCTGTTTCCATTTGCATTTATGCTGTATTTTGTGTGTGCGCTCTTGCAGTTCAATTTGGTTCATGTAGAACTTCCAGAATGCTGTTAATGGTTTATTTTTAATTTCCACAAAAACAATATTAAAAAAACTTAAGTTTTTTATTTGCAAGGGATTCAGCTTGCAAGTAAACTTTTAATAATGTTTTTGTGGAAAATTTTTATAAATCCTATTTGATTTTAAAACAGTGGAAGATGGCTTTACTTTCCTGATGCATTTAGAAAAGAACATTCTAGTAGAATTCTATAATAAATATAAGGAATGCAGAACAAATAGGAATAACAACAATTTTTTTGATGTGTTGTTGATAGAAAATTTCAGTTTTGTTGTTAATTATAACTGAGACCAAAATGTAGAATTCAAGCAAATAAATAAATAAGCTTGAATTAAAGCAAATAAATCACCCAAGAATATACCTAAAACTCTACATCAAAATGCAAAGAAGTTTCACTTATTATATGCATTGATTTGGCATGTGATATGCATGAATTTTTTTCAAACAATAAACACAAAAATTACTAGAGTATCATATCAAATATTCAGCTTCCAGAAATCTGGATTTACC